AAATGAGCCCATTTAGGTTTCCATTACATAGAACGTGAACAAACCTTTCAAAAATTCCAACCAGGGGGGGGGGGGGGGTGTACTCATAGTCGTGCATGCCGCAATCGTTAGACACTTGACCTCGCATCCCTACAAAGCCGGGACGGAGCACGCCGGGTTCTCACCGGACCAGGCTCTCACATCACCAAGCGCGAAACACCGTGAGGTATTCGGCGAGTCGCATGAAGGATGCGCTGCATCCTGAAAAGTGTGTTCGGCATCTTGTGTTTACTTCCTTGCGTACGGATGACAGCTACGTATGCCTTTCTTTGTTTTCTGGTGCTTTCACTTCCAGAGACAGTTATTAGCACTGTGTAACTGCCTCGAAGGTGCGTGACCATTTAAACACAACGTGGGGCGATCATCCCTTTTGTTTCCGAGTGAGGGTTCTCGACCTCGCACAAATTAAACTACTCGACCACCATTATGGTTACCGCAAAATAAAAACAGAGGAAACGAAAAAACCGTAACCGGGTTGCCGAGGTCACGAAGTGATGGCTTCTTTTACAACGTCGTTGCCAAGCGACGAAAACCCAACCTTGATGGCAAACACCTGGGGAGAGTGGGGGGGGGGGGCGGGGGTACCAAAGCCCAAATGAACGAGCGTGAACGTAGAGCAAAGCGCCGCACCGACAAAGGTGGCTAGAACGCGAGAAAACGGAGAACCGTCATTTGGCCCAATCAAAAACATCGAACGGGAAAAATACACGCGGGACCGCCGAGAAAGTAAGGCGAACCGGTGGCGCGTGTCCCGCGGAACAGAGAAATATATGTGCACACGCGAATGAGGAGTGCTGGGGCCAACCGCCCGAACCTGGCGCCGAAACGAATATGCCGCGAAATCACCCCCGCGTAAGATACATGAAGGACTTCTGTTTCGAGCCAACAGGGAAATCACCCCGCGTAGAACATAGGCGGAGCACCAGCGACGGCGAAAAGTGCCGACAACAACGAACGAACCCCTCTGGAACAGGGCATGTGAAAGGCCTGAGAAACGCGCATCGACAGAGGGGTATAAGCGTCGTGCGGTAGAGACGCAGGCGGGCAGAACACAGCTATTCGCTCGCCAACGATCCACGAACTGCAGGGTTGGAAATGTGAACAGATCCCGAGATCCGGAACAGCAACCTAAGATACGGAACGGAAGGAGTCGTGGCGCCGCACGATAGCGGATGAAAAACAAAAAGTTCTCCCGCTCTGGCACGCCGAGAGCAAGTAGCGACGCCCACGATCGATAGCATTGCTCACCGTGCGGGATACGCAAAGTTTGACACGGGTAGTATTTCTAGGACGGGTAGTAGTATACAGACGCATCAGAAGTTGTATGTTATCACGTGACAGGGATACAACGAAAATGTGTACAATAATGTAAGACGCATGCCGAGCACACCAGAATATCCGGCTGCACATACGCAGGACGGCACGCGAGCGTTTGTACGAAACACAGAAAGCACACATGGAACGTGGGCGGCCCACCACCCGAAAACAACCACGGGAAGAAAAATAGGAAAGTCCAATCGGGGTGCGTGTTCTGTCATGCCTCCCAGCGAGGCGCAGCACGCGTGCTGCTTCGAGCGAAAAAATGAGCTATACAATGTAGAGCGTCGAATTTTGTTCCGATAACACACGCGTGTGAAGTTGGAAAAAGTTCAAAATCTGAACTTGCGAGAGAAAGTCGAGCGCGCACGCTCGTGCCAAGCGGTCGTCAGTGGGCTCGAACCAAGGGAGACAGGCAAAGGAACTACACTACGTGGGCCGTCCCAACTGGTTAGCTGTTCAAGCATTTAACTCGCCTTATCCGTGTGGGTGACGTAGGTTGGCTTCGTCTTCTCAGCAGCAGAACCGGTAGACGAAGCCAGATTGGCCACCATCGCCGCCAACCCCCGCGCGCTGTTCCACTCTGTCCAACTCGCTTAGAAGGACCTGCATGTCCTCGTGCGCGCGCTTGTGAGCGGCCGGCCCCGCCTGAGGGGCACTCGCGACCCTGAGCATGTCGTCGTCACGTCCCCCTGAACTGTCCGCGGCAACCAACACGCCGCGGGAGGTGAGGGATTGGCGCGGGATATCAGATGACCATCCGCGACCTTCATGCTCCCACGGCTGGAGCACCGCCAGAGGAACTCGGCCACCTGTGCGCGCATGTCCCGCTTGGCGCGCTCCTCCATCTCGCCCGACGACCCCCCGGCGCTGAACGCCGCGGAGCAGATCTTGAAGAAGTCAGGCGGGATTTCACCATCTCCCGCGGCCACCGGATTGCTAAGGGCCCTCTGGAGGTTGGAAGCGGAAAGCGACGAGGCCGCCCGAATGACGCCATGCAGAGAAACATCAACCCTCTCCAGCACCCAACGATCGGTAACTTGGCCGTCATCAACGACAACCGCCATCGAGGCGTCGATGTTAACGATGCCCGACATAGCGGCCGAGAAGAGGAGAAAAGAGAAGAGAGGGAAAAAGGAAGAAGAAAAACACCCCAGGAGAGACTCCTCCGGAAGTCGCGCCACACCCCGAAGCACAGCGTACGGGGTAGCGCGCGTGTGCTACCGAGTGGAAGTTTTTGCCGATCGATTTTCAATCTGGGTTTTCCAAACAGGGCGCAAAGTTGAAAAGTGAGCCTGTTTCCTGACTCTCCCCAACATGGACTCTTTATTCCGTGACAGATCTGGGGAATACTTTTTCTTTCTCCATTGCTGGTTCTAATAATACCCGCTCCACAAGTTTTACCGTCCACTATATCGCTCCCCTCTGTGGCACTTAAAAACGAAGTTTTAGTTGGGGGAGAGATTCCACTTCGTGAATACAATTGTTGTTTCAGCCTTGAACGATTTGAAGGTGGATTTCAGTGTACAGGGTGTAGCTCTCTGGCTGATCGTTTGTGCTCACGAGGAACAATATGAGCATGGTGGAAGTGCGACGTGGTACCAGGCCGGCTTCATGAGCAACCCAGCACGAGCGCGATAGAGGTGCTTTGTATTCGCTGATATCTCCGCGAGTGCACCGCCTTCATTCTCCTTTGCAGGCCATCGGTCTTCGTGTGGACCAGAGGTTTCTTTTGGTCGAACCCCCTCCCATCCCCAGGCGCGGTTTGTAATTCTACTTTGTTACTGCTTGAGGCGGCGGCTTGTGGTTGATTCGGCTATTGTTTGGCCGCTACTGCTTACGGTTGAACGTGCTGTTGTTTGCTGCCGCTTTTGCTTTTCGGTTGCCCACCAGGCGCTTTGCGAGATGGGGGCTACCGTAGGACCGGTTGACACAGCAAAATTCGCGTTGGACCTTGAGGGACTGTGGACAAAATTCAACAGTCTAGACCCCGAAGCCATGCTAGCGGCATCTGGAGGCGCAGTTAGCGATACCAGGTGATGTGCAGGTTCCTGTCCCACATGCTAGGACATCTAGACGAGCCTTGATAAGCTCTCGCGTGAGTGCTTGAGTTATGCTACACCTCCTTTATGCTGGGTCCACCCTCCCGTAACCTTTTCGCGGTACCAGCTGACTGACTGGATCATTGACAATCGCTGCAACTCTCCGCTTCAACGCTCACCTTGTTCGCCCTCGACGAGCACACGGGAGTCTGCTTGTCAAGCTCTAGTTGCTGTACGTGTTTAACCGCCGCAGCAGCAAGAGCAAAGCTCCCAGAACTTCTGCGGCAGTCTACCCCTTGTTGGTACGAATTATATTGTACCTCCTTAACCTTTGATACGATTAACCTGCGAGGCATAAAAACAAACTTTCCCCAATGCTTAGAATTAAATATACTTGAATACATTCGTACCGTGGATCATCACGTTGGCCTCTTTTTTGTAAATGTGCGAATTGAGCTCGCAGCAGACTGCCGTGGGTTACTTCTCGACGTATGAGCTTTTCCAGTTCGTTAGGACGTTCACCCATCTGAGGGTCTGTCCGTTCAGATTTTCACCTGCCGGTTTGACTCCTTGCGTCAACCGTTGCTTTGCAGCAGCAGCACGCGCTTGGATGAAAAAGCAGAACAGGAGGCGACCGGGTTCCTGCTCGACCTCGTTTCTGTCTCCAGGGATAATGGACTCAAGCTCCCCCGAGGTACTGTTGCTGTTGTTGCTGCTGTCCTGTGTGTCTCTTGGTACTGATGCAATATCTTCTGACCCCCCCCCCTCCCCCCCCCAGCAGATTCCGTGTCGTATAGTCATCAAGCTCCTCGTCTACCGTTTGTCTCAACTACGCGTAGGCGCCCAGCGCGAAACTTGTTCTCTGGTGTCCGTGTCCTTTGCTTCTGATTCCCCAGTTGAATATGGTATGATGTTTGGGCCAGTTGAAAAGGGTATTCCGCTGATTACGCAGCACCTAGACTTGGATCGCTATTTAGTACTCCCTGTAGCGTCTGAAGGTGGCGGTCTTTTCCCCGCTCTTTGTATTGCGTGGTGAGGGGAATCGATGTGCGAGCAACAGGATATAAACATTAACAACCAGGCCTCGAGATATTAGACCGCTATCGACCAAGGACTACGGCATAACGACCGAGGGTTTGTTTGGTAACATTCTTTTGGGCGGACACATTCTCGGCGATAACACCATGCGGCGGTCGTTTTTCGACGGTAGCGACTTTGGCTGAGGTGGTAACACCAGAAGCCGGCCGTAAACCGGGGGGGCATACCGATACCGCCCACCAGCGGTATTTTCATGGCCTTGAAACTACCGAGTACAGCCTTCATGACGACCAGCTTTTTTCTTGTTCTTGACTGGTGGCCGACAATGTAATAGCGTGGATTAAGACCAGATCTGGCAACGCGGAATGTTTGTTTCAGACGGAGTGGAGACTTGGTGCGTCATACTCTGCACCACCTGTCTCCAGGCCATATTCTAGGGATCGTACGGTTGGGAATCTTGTCCGCATGTTTGGAGGCCGAAAGTATGCTTCTATGGTATTCAGAGGGTTTTGGGCGCTCTTCTCCATTTTTATTCCGCTGAGCCCGATAATCTGTACGTTGTGACTGTAACCTATGTTTCCTGCGCAGCCAGCGCAAGAATCCGCATCCCGATCCGATCGTGCTTAGTTGCAGGCAAAGGCTCTCCTTCACGTAGACGTCCCCTTCCTATTTCGTGTGCTTCTGTGACCTTCAAACGAAATGAAAAATTGAAGTAATTAACAAGACGTGGCGGGCGGTCCGTCCGTTCGTGCTCTACGTACAGTCTTCCATGAGCATGCTTAAAGATTCGAAGTAGAATACACGTCACCCGCATTCATGTCCTGACCGAGGAAAATGGGCAAAACACGCTCAATCCGAGCATTGATAAGGCGACGTTTTCACGGACGCTAGACTTGCTGAGACATGAAGTGTATCCTTCGCCCGCTCTCCAACGCTGGTTTGTTTGTAGCACCACCTTCAGAGTCTATGCCTATTTACAACACCTAGACGGGGTTTCTAGCTCATATTGTGTATTGTTGAACCGAGTTCGCGTTCTCGTGGGTGAAAGCTCTTATGCATCGACGTTTTAGAAGCTCTTTGTCCTCAAACTTGGCAATGATTATTCGATGCTCCTGTATAGAACATCCTAACTTGTTTTGTATTGTACTTGGTATTGTTCACGGTGAATCCCCCCGAGTAAGCCGGTGAGCTCTTCTTGCCTCCTGGGGCTTCATGCCCCACTTTCTTGGGGTTCTCTCTGTATTCAATTTTTGCTAGATTCGTTTTTTTTTTGCGAGTGGTGAGAGCGACCCTTGTAACCGGAACGTTCGAATCGAAAATCAAGACCACAAACGGATAATGAAAACCAGAATTGGGTTGCATCGAAAAAAACAACTAAAACGCTCCGAAAATGCGAAAAAAGGCCCGATAAGGCCCGTCGCAATGATTCAAACAATGGCTATGAAAGCCACAGGGCACCCAAACAGCGAACGATAGTTCCGGAAATCGGTTCTGACCAGTCGGGTTGGAATATTGTTGGTTTCGCATCGAGTTGCTGTGGCCTCAGCGAGCAATGTGGGATTGAATGCTCCGGTCTGATGTAGGAATTTAGAGCAGATCTAGCTCAACGAAATCTCATGCCAATGTATCGGTTGCATCCTCAAGCGTTCTGTAGGTGGTGAGGCGAGTAAAGAAATGAAGACATGCCAGAATGTGGGCGTGGCAAGACAAGCAGCTTGTGTTCTTGTATGCATTTTTTCTTTTTTTTGCCTATTCGTCTTCTTCACCCTTTGATTCTTACATTTGGGTTCAGCTTGCCGAAACCACAACCCTCCACTTACCATACTTACTCCGGCGGTGGTACGCAGGGAAGTTGCGCAATCAGTGACACGTTTTCGTTTGTGCTTTTAGTTTTGGACGGAGCAAGCGTATGACAAGGGCCACCCTTAGCCTCGTTGTGCCATTTTTAGAACATGGTCGGTTTGAGCTTGTAACCACGGAGGTTGGTTTCACCACGGCTAGTAATACAGGCTCTAAGAGTTTTCGAACTAGCGGCCGGAATGTTGAGTATTTCGGAAAGTAGCGTATACTCCCGCAGTTGGGCCCGTGTGGAAACGGCTCGGATTTCTCCTTCCTACACAAGGTGTCGCACGGTTCGCCCCCCAAATTGTCATCAACAGTGACGGAGTTGGATCCCACGGTGCGAGTGAAGAAGCCAGATTCGTATCGGCGCCGTATGGCGGTGTTTACTCCTTTCCGCCCTCCGTGTTACTTCCGTGGTAAACGGCAGTCATCCTAAAAATTGGAACAAGCGGAGCAGACCTCTCGTCCTTTTTGGATCGGTGTAGCATTCGCATGTTCGGTTCACCCTGACTTCCCCCCCCCCCCTGACATTGTAGTACCATCATCAACAATCTGAACACGTTTCTCGAACGGTTTGGAATTTACCTCCCCACCCCTTCCCCCCGTGCCATTTGTCCGCAAAACCCGCCGCTAGAGTTTGGTTTGCTAATTAAGCAGCAACTCTACTTCGACCGCTACACAAAGATTCTGGCACCAACTCTGGACCCCCTCCGAGACAGCAGAATGCAAATGAAGATGAAGGACCAGGAGGGAGGAGTGGCAAGCGGTGAGGACGTGCTAGTCCTTGAAACGGAGAAGGGGGCGGGGAAATCTGACACGGAGGAAGGGGAGACCAAGCGCCTTGCCGACGTCGGAGAGATAGAGGATGAGACGAATGTAGAGATCGATGATGACGGGAGAGATGAAGAGGACGAACAGGCACAGAAACGTGCAGCACAAGATGTAGGTAACGAGTTTGACGGGGCAGGAGAGATGGTCGGGTGTGTGGTTGATGCCCGTGTTGAAAGCGCGGGCGGGAGCGAGACGAAACAGAACAAGAAACGGAAGAAGAAACGTAAAAAGGACCGTCAGAAGGATCGCCGCCCTCTACGATGACGGATATCACCGCATAAATGTCTGCCGATTCCCAAGTGTATTTAGTCCATATCGAGTTTCCGAACCTTGAGAGCTTAGGATAGTGCTGAGGTGCAGTGGTTATCGTTGAGAACATGTTAAATATTTTAATAGCTTTGTTCCGAGGACCCACCGAACACTCGTGAGGTGGCCGTTTGGTTTCGCGCAACAAAAAAACATGATTTAGACACCTCTTTCGGAATACTCGCAGAGGCGTGTGCTCGCGAAGAAAGAGGATCCTGCCAGGGTATGCGAATTTTTCGGTAGACTATCCGTCTGTGCATGACGGATCTTTGAGCAGTAAACTCAACCCCATCTCACCAACTAGGCACCAAATTACAAGTCTATTCTTGTGGCCTGGGCATTTGACTACAATGGAACCGTCACAATGGTTTACAGCAAGTCGTGCTCAGTTCGGTCGAGACAGCAGCGGATGTCAGCGTGTCAGTGTTGTCGCATCCATCCCCAACGAAACAGAGAGGTGTCGTTTTGAGCCCGGCGGATGATGTGTGTTATCGTTTGAAGTTGAGAGCGAAAGAGAGATATGGACTACGGAGGTGATGAAGGGAGATGCCAGGGAGAGAGGGTGCGTGTGTTCTATGCTGTTGTGGAAGCAAGGCGGCGTGGGCACATACACACGTACCATGTGTGTATGTTGAGTGTGATTCGGTTTTGTTTGGACATCGAGCGATAGAGACAGACAGAGAGACCGAGAGAGAGGCTGATCTCTCCGACCGCTGCACACCCGGGCAACCTTTGAGACACAGGCGATATGAAGATGAGAGACGTTAACGTGTTGTGTATGTTTGCGTGTCCTGTTGGGTTTGTTGAGTTTGTTGAGTGCCCCGTGGTAAATACTGTTGACTGTGTGTCGCTGTTGAACCGAGTTGCGAAGAAAGATAGAGAGATGGCGGAACCACACAAGAACAACATCGCACCAACAAAAATGCCTCTAGCCACCATCACTCGTGATGCACATACAACTACACTGCTGGGCTGCTGTACACTTGAGGAGGGCCGAATGTGCAACCTGCTCCTTCCCTGCTCTATTCGTGCACCACAAAAACACTGAACGACGAGTGGTCGAGTTTGTTTTTCGTGGACCGCGCGCTGGTTTGAATTCTCACTGTCTGTTGTTTCGCCCCCCCCGGCCCAAAACGGGTGAACTAGCCTACTACAGGTACTTCCCAACGCAAAAGGAAGCTATCCCACGTCCCCGTCTGTACGTTGCTATGGTATTCTGTTGTGTTTTGCCATTGGATTTTGCTTGTTTTTGGTCTTGTTGCTGCCAAGTGCCATTCGATTTCGTCTCCAAAGAGAACGACGTTGTTCATGTGCGTCAAGGACGTACCCCGCACGTAAAGAAGGGCTTTCTCGATTCTTGCTGATTGAGCTCAAAGCAGGAACTGTTGCGAAGTGCGTGCATCACAGGAGTCTTTCACCTACTGAAGGATCACACGTTTGAGGCCGGTAAGATTCCAACCTCCTTTCAAGATCGCAACTCACCACCACCAAACCTTCTCATACAGCGACTGGAGTCTATTCCGAACACGAAAGAACAAGGCGAAAAAGATGGTTGGGTACCGGAATATCGGAATTGCATTCTTAGGCGATTAGAACATTCTGTGGGAGGTAGTAGGTGATTTCCAAGCAGCGGAGCCGCACCAAGTTCTTGTTTTAGGATTCGGAAGACGGACTTAAAAATAATCGTGAAGCGTGGTTCCTCACAACCAAACGTACGATTGTTTATTTGGTATCTTCCGAATAACCTACAAACGAAGCACTTGTTCCCACCAATGCCGAGCACAACAATACCGAACCATTCAATATTTGGTACCGTGGTGACGGCCACTTGACCGAGGGAACGGTGTGAATTGCCCACGTCCTTCTTACGGTCCTAGCGTTGGCGCCCGGGCAAATCACATTTCTACCGATCATGGGTATTCAACTTTTCAACAACTGCAGAATTGCTCAAGATCGACGACGACGACGAGAGACCCATCGTCCTGGATCACCTCCGTGACATCCTCGTTGAGGTGTGGAACGGAGGAGAGATCCACCAAGAGTGGAAGGACGCAACCATCAAGGTGTTGTACAAGAAGGGTGACCGGTCCAACTGCAACAACTTCAGGGGGATCTCTCTCCTATCTCACGTAGGCAAGGTCCCCATCAAGATCACCACCAACCGCCTAACTAAGCGCCTTCTGCGAAACCAACAACATCCTGCCGGAGGAACAATGCGGGTTCCGACCAGGGCGATCCACCATCGACATGCTGTTCGTCGTGCGCCGACTCCAGGAGTTGAGGCGGAGAAGGAAAATACCACTCTACATGTGCTTCGTCGACCTGAAGAAGGCGTATGATTCCGTGGACCGAGAGATGCTGTGAAAGGTCCCGGCCGGGGCCGGGATTCCTGAGGAGATGATCTCCGTCATTCGCCAATTCCACGACGGAATGCGGGCCTGGGTGCGCATGGACGACGGAGAGTTTTCGGTCTGGTGCTTGGTCACACAAGGCCTACGACAAGGGTGTGTGCTGTCCCCACTGCTGTTCAATATCTTCTTCGCCGCGATCATCGAGGTCGTTGCCATTCGATCCAGCGAGGAGGATGTTATTCTGGAGAACCTTGTGTACCTGGAGGAGGAGACGGGAGCGGTGGCGAGGACACCACTTGACCGAGTGCGGAGGACGGGATGGGGGATGTTGTATGCCGATGACGCCGGCGTCGTATCGAGGTCTGCCGAAGGACTGCGATAATGATGACCGTCATCGTGGAGGTGTTCGGGGAGTTCGGGCTGACGGTATCGGAGAAGAAGACGGAGACGCTCCTGATGCGCGCAAAGGAGAAGCACACAACAACACCACCGCCCCCCCCGCCGCCACCGCTGATCATCGAGGCAACAGGGCAGAGGTATGCCCAGACGACCGAGTTTCGGTATCTAGGTGGCCTCGTCAACGAACATGGCGACCTCACCCGGGATATCAATTACCGGAGCAGAGCAGCGTGGGCGTGCGTCAGGAGAATGGCCAGGAGCTCTTCGACAGGCCGAAAGCACCGTTCCAACTGAAGACTCGCCTGCTCCAGGCCGAGGCGATGGAGGCACTGCTGTACGGCTGCATGACATGGGCCCCACGTCAAGACCAATGCCGGACGTTGCGGACGATACACCACCGACTGCTCCTGCGAGTTATCGGCTACCAACGCAAGAAGGGCACCTACCGGCAGCTTTCCTACGCCCAGACTCTGAAGAGGGTAGGGTGCCAGAGCGTAGAAACCACTATCCGCCAACGGCACCTGCTGTTCGCGGGAGCGCTGGTAAGGCAGCCAGACGGACGACTCCCGAAACAGGTGATGCTTGGAGAACTGGTGGGGGGGAGGGCCCAGGTAGGGGGAAACCGGAGCAAAACTGGCAGATGTGCCTGAAGGACGACCTCAAGATGTTCGAAGCAGAGCACGGATCTACGGACGCCGAGCCATGCTTCTTCGGAGTCCCGGAAACAACTTGGATGGAAGCAGCGAAGGTGGACCGGGGGGTACCGTGGCGTACAGGGGTACTACAGGGAGCTAAGAGGTTCATGGCCTCCTGGCACAAGAAGGAAGAGGAGGCTAGCCGACAACAAGCGCTCAAACGAAACAAGAAGCCCGACAACAACAAGGACACGGCAACAACCACGGGGGTGGGAGGGGTACAGCAGGCGGACGAGACAGCGAGGAAAGGCAGGAAACGCGACAAGGCGGACGGAGTGGCGAGAAACACCGTGCCGAATTGAACCCCTTGCTTGACTTATACCCCCCTCCGGGGAGCACCAGAAAAGAAATTAAGTCATACGCAGCTGTCATCCGTACGCAAGGAAGTAAGCACAAGATGCCGAACACCCTTAGCAGGATGCAGCTCACCTTTCATGCGACTCGCCGAATACCTCACGGCGCTTCGCGCTTGGTGATATGAGAGCCTGGTCCGGTGAGAACCCGGCGTGCTCCGTCCCGGCTTTGTAGGGATGCGAGGTCAATGGTCTAACGACTACGGCATGCACGACTATGAGTACACCCCCCCCCCAACCCGCCCCGGCACAGCACCATTGCACCAACCCCCCGCGAGCGATGACGTGCATGGGCTGGCTCGAGTGGCCCGCTTTGTCTTGTGTTGTTTTGTGTTGTTCTGTTTGTTTGTTTGTTGTCGCTACGGCGTGTGTCTTTCTCTGCCTGTGTCTTTCTCTTTCCCTTTGCTTCTCTCCGTCTGCTCTCTTCCTTTCTTCTTTTGAACTTTTTCTCTTTCTCTTTCTTTTTCTTTTTCTTTTTCTATCTTTTTCCAATCTAGGGTTACCTCGCATAGCGTGCAGAGAGGCGAGTGGAGTGGCCTAGACTATCTGTCGTTGACCTTTATTGGCTTGCGGACCCTTCGGATCCATTTTGTTTTCGTATACCTTTTTTTACGTATGTTAGCCTGTGACCACGGAATCGACCCCGTCAAGTGTTAGACTATTAATATACGGACAGAAGAAGGTACTGGGGAAAGAGAACGGAACGGTTTTTAATGTGCAGACAACAACAACAACAACAACAACAACAACAACATGCTCTTGTCATTTTGCTCAATTTTTGTGTTGCCTACCTATGCTAGAACGTCCTCTATTCCAAAGAGAACAGCACGCAGTACAAAGTGTTGAAAATTGCTATCATAGGTCTCATAGGTGATGATATGCCCATCCACGGGGCAAGTACAAGGTAAGGCCGTTAGCACGGTACAATTTCAACAGGAATGGCTTGTTTGTTGATGGGCTAAGTGTAAATTCGGCCCCCTTTACGGAACAAGGGTCAAATGCCCCCAAGCATCTGACGAGAATAGGTCTTAACATTGTCGTCGCGATGACATTTCTGACGTTGGTCGCAGAATACCCGGGTTCGAATTTCGCCACCCATCCCAACGTGCTGAGGGACGATCAACGGTAAACCGATTGTTGAACTTGTGAAAATTATGGTGACGACTTGGCGGATATAGCGCACCCACCAAGATACGCTCTGAAGGTTGTGCCGGTGCGTCGACTAGTGGTCAGCAAACCAAGAAATGCCCTTGAAGCGGTTGTGTTGAAGGTAATGTCAACCGCTGCAAAGGATCACAATAGGGATCACATTTCTCCCAACATCTGTTGAGGACGAATCGCTCTTTCCACACCCTTAACGACACACTGTCGAAAGCGCCCATCCTCAACCTCGGCAGGATGTCAGGTATAGAGAGAACGCTTCAACTGCGAGACAAAGTTCCAGGAAAGTCATCGGGAGCTACTGTACAAAGTTCCACAAAGACAGGACCCCCGGAAGCCGGTATCGAACAGATTTCGCCGCTCGCTTCCTTCGTCACCGCATATCCATCCACACATAGTCTACATGTAAACACTACATCGAAAGGCTTCGTTGTAACCAAATGAAAAATACGTAGCGTCCACCCTCTTACGAAACACATAGAGCAATACATGTCCCGGAAAAAGATGATTTCATGTGAAAAGGTACACGCACGGGCGGATTGGCCCCTACTCATTATCCTCTGATCCTTAGAATCCCTCCCCACATCAATAAATATTCCCTTTAGTCTATATATTGCACCGCACAAGCAAATTGGCCCCTACTCCTTGTCCGCTTGTCCCTAACTCCTCCCCGTGTTATGTACTGAAAATACACTCCTCCGCAGGTTCACTCCTACGCTTGTCTGCTCTGAAATAATGCGAAAATCCATGAACAGGCGGACAAGACGTACTACAGTACACCCGGGCAAATGTACCACGTTGTTCGAACCGTGAAACATTCACACAGCCTTGTGGCATGTCCTGTGTGCCCAAGAACACAACCCCGGCCCAACAAGATCGCAGTATACTTCGCACACACAACGCACCTCTAAATCACCCCCCGTCCACCCGTCCGTCAGGAGATAGATGTCGCATTTCAAGCAAGGGGAAGAAATAACCCCCCGTGATCCCACGGCTTTAAAGAAGGCTGCCGAACACACTTACGAACAGCTATCCCTTGCTCCACCGTTGGCATACAGATGCGGATAGCCAGTTAGTCACCTTCCAACGTTTTCCCGCAACATTCCAGCACACGGAACTATGACTGTGGTGTCACCTTTTCCTCCCAACGCAAGATCCGTAGTCGATAGCTAACAAATATATACCACGGCAAAGCTGACAAATACAAGGATACTCCTCTTGGAAGACAAGCCGTGCTGTTGCCCCTCCCGCCCGCCGTTACATTTACTCACACAAACACAACCTTCAACCCACGGACGGCCGATATACGACAAACCCGTGGTGCCTCCAAACGTAGCTACACTGTGCGAGGGCCGATGCCGGTAGATGCAATAGAGAGTTTTCCTCCGACTTGCTGAACACTTGACTCGTGTTCTGCTTGCATAGACTGTGCAACTAGTGCTTGTATATGTGTGTGTGAAATGCGATTCTGATCAGCGCACGTACGTGTTGATGAAGTTACCTCTGTCGAATCTTTCGATTTGGCACCGGCAGATCGGGCAGACAGGTTGGCGGCCCTGTAATAGCCTTTGAGAACATCCCGTGCACAAAACGCTATGATTGCAAGGCCGGAACATGGTGTCAATCGGACGTTCCCAGCATACTTTGCACACGCGACTAGCCCCCGCCGAGCGGCTATTTTCGCCTGCTGCCGTGACGTCATTTGCCGAGCTCCCGATACCACTTCCATCGGCGCCGAGAACCTCACAGAGATCCGTTACGGTGACCGACGCTGAAGGACGCCCCTCTGGATTGCGGTCACAACACCTTGCGACGATGCGGGCAACCTTCTGAGCATCTTCTTGGGGCCAGTTGGCGTACTGGTCGAAAGCGGTAGGCCCGAATTCCCCATTCGCTACGCGCCTTGCGCTTATCTTGGCCTGAGTAGGATTCTGGCTACCCATCAGGAGACAAGCAAGCACGCATCCGAGGCTGTAGATATCGGAAGCCTTCGTGAGAGTTTCCGTCTCCAGGTACTCGGGGTCCATGAACCCGATCGTCCCCACGGGGTTGGTGTTCGTACCTTCGTTGTCCATTTTACGGGCCAACCCGAAATCGGTCAGGTGGGCAAGTCCTTCGTCGTCCAGAAGGATGTTTCCGGGCTTGATGTCACGATGGACGAACCCCTCAGAGTGCAAGTATTCAAGTCCAGCCGCTCCATCGATAACGATCTTGACACGGGCTTTCCATGGCAGCATGCTCCGCGAATCGGCCGTCCGAAGCGTCGAACACGCAGCTTGACAGCCTCGGGTAGACCAGCCCGCTGTGCTCTGCGGAAGCGGGAAATCAAATCGTCGGGAGACATAATTGTTCTGGGGGCGTATCAGCTCACGATAAGAACGGGGAAATCCCCAGTCTCTCTCTCTGAGTTTGAAGCTTCAGGGATAGCTGTGTTATCGGCGGAAGCAACCAATATGTATTTAGCGAAATCCTTGGGACGATCAGCACAACCAATTTGTTGGAAATAGGACATCGTGTGTGCTATGGATGTGTGCATGCTGTAGTGTTTTCCTGGGGTTATACGCACAGATGTATCCTGATCTGAAACCCCTTCAACGCTATAGACTATGCTCAACAGTGTAGACGCGTAAAGAAAAACACACCGTGGCAAATTCCGTAGAGCGGGACGATGTTCGCGTGCCTCAGGAGCGTGAGAGATCTCACTTCCGCCTGGAAGTGGTCCTCGCCCTGTAAGCTTTCAGGATCCAGCATTTTGATGGCGACCTCCTTCGTCGTAGACTCCAATCCGGCGATACCAAGCAGCGAGGTGCGGAGCACACCGGCGTGTACCCTGCCGTAGCCCCCCGAGCCGAGCACACCGTCGGCGGAAAATCGGCTCGTTGCGTGGTAGAGCGCGTTATAGCTGAAGCATCGCACGCCGTTTATCATTTCGACGTCGGGTACTCCAGTGTTGGTGGGGACTGGGTACCCTGACGTCGAGTTCGCGGGCTCGGGAGCCGGGGAGGGTTCCGGAACTGGGTCCTGACGCGTGACCGAGACGGGGAGTGACGGGCTCAGCAGAGCCCACGGAGGTGGAATTGGAGGGCCTGCAAGGAAATTCGCATGTTTGAGGAGTTCAACGAAAGGGGTGTACGGTTCTGCAACGGGAACGGTTTTCAAATGTTAGTCTTGTACACGCACTACATACAAGTGGGCACATCTACCTTCGACAGCAAATCATCCTTGGCAATCACAAAATGTAACTCCAACGTTGTACAGAGGATGATTGCGAGCCTACTAGGCCTTCAAGGGACGTGGTCTTGCTATAGGTATGCTGTGTTGTGCTAGCGAGAACTAGTTGCGCCCTACCAGTGTGTGTCGAGGAAATGAGGTAGTAGTCCTTGGCGCTAAGTGAACAAGTACGCCCACCCCGTGTGCAGATCATATACTCCCTAGCATTCCCGTAGCAGTATTTGGATTTTTTGGGGTATCAGATATACCATGGCTCATCTGAATACCTCACAATGAGCCGCGGAGCGCGAAGCGCGATATTTTTTCCCTTCATCCTCAGGAGGGGAAACAAGGCTCTAAATATCGGGCTGTTTCAACCATCGCGCTGTAGAGCCACCCTTCCGCAACCCCCCCCGGAGAATGGCACGTCAACATATTATCGCCTTTATTAGACGAGAACGAGGTCTATAAAGCATCGATTTACGATCTGCTGGGTTGAGGAGTAAGCTAATTAGGGCAATCGTCACTCCGGTTTTTTTGCGCTCTGACAACAGATGGCCATGCTTGACACGCATTTGTACCCAAAATCATCGAAACATCTTACCCTCGTCCCCGGGAGTTGGATGAGAGGTAAAGGGACACCAAAGCGGAGATCTCCTATACAAACAACACACGAAGCAGTAATTTCCTCGGTTTCCAACTCGGGGGAATCAGAGGAAGCACTCAGTAATATACCGTAATAGTCGGAGAGATGGCACCGGTCGGGGAGGTGGCACCGGGGTGCGCAAAAAATGCAAGAACGGCCATATTTTATTCGATTACGCACCGGGGTCGGTGAGATC